TTCTTGTTTTCACGCAATTAGACCACACAGGGAACAGGAACATCTCAAATCTAAGCCACCCTTGATGACACAAAACGATACGCCCCTGGTCGATGTTCTGTATTCCTTATGTCCGCGGTAACCGCACTGTGCCAGGATACCCAAATATGCAGTTTAAATGATATTACCTTGTCATGACTTTAGAGGCGCATGTATAATGAAGCTTTCGCCCAGCTTACCTGGCATTATATATTCTTTTCTGCTGGAGTTTCCTCTTACCTGTCTCACTTTATGTCATTTTAATTACTGTGCCTTGCCAGGACAACAGGTCCCGTTCTAGGCTAAATGTGCCTTGTACATTGTAGTGGTTTTAAGACACCATATTCGTAAATTTATGAGTGTCAGAGCCTGCATGCCCGGATGTATTCTTTGATGTAGAAACCGTACAGTGGTTTGGTGTGTTTCGCTTCCGTGTTTCGTCGATTCCAAAGAGAATATTCTGTGAATAATTAGATACAATTATCAAAATGTGATTCCTGACAGAAATAATTAGAAACAAACTAACAACACAAACATCAGTTAGTGGGAAAGGTCGGTTTTACAGTAGAACAGTTATGGATAATAAAGGGAACACTGTGGGTCAGAACCAACATGAGGTAACTAAAACAGACATAGGCGCCAAAACCTGGGGGGAAGGGGGGAGTGTTAGTGGGAGTGTGGCTGGGGGAGGGGGGGGGGTGGTCAAAAGGGAGGCCCCTTCCAGTCAAAAAAATTCGGGGAAGGAGGATTGAGTGCCCCCTACCTAATAATTGTTAAGGAGTCCAAGCATCTAAAAATAAAATAGTCTTTCAAATTATATGTTTGTAGATTTTAAATTACTTAATATATTATTTCTATGTTTTAAAACTAGGATAAGGTCTTTTGAACACATACTCTTATTTTGCCTGGAAATTGGTATGGTGGCGGGGAAATGGAGCTCAGCGGCCACCCCCTCCCCCACCCACCCGCCTTCTCCTTTTTCTTCTCCTTAATATTTACTCTGCGGCGACGCCACTGAAAACAGATAAAAAATTTTCGTGACTCTTTCTAGACATAATGATAAAGAGATAAAGGTTACACTTTAGCAGAGATATGTTAGGCTTGTTGTCAAGTGTCGGCTTCACACAGTCGTTTTCATTTTCTTTGATATCTTCTTCCTTCGCTTTTGTTTTCTCCTTCTCATTATCCTTATTCTTCTTACCCTACAGCAGACATTGTTGGCTTCTTGTGAAATGTGAGCTCACCTATTTTTTTTTTTGTTTTTTTTTACATCTTTTTCTTCTCACGTTGTTTCTTATCTGTACTCCACCTCTTACTTCTTCTTATGTTTACATACGAAATAGACACAACACCGATTCTTCTTCGTCTTCTTCTTCTTATTATTATTATTATTATTATTATTGCGCTTTACGTGGTGGATATTTCCCCCTCTTGAACCTATAGAGAGAGCTCGTGTGTGCGTGCGTGGTTTGCTAATGGCGGTTTCCAGAGACAAACATTTTAGTGAATTATAAGTTGCCAGGAAAGAAATATGTTAGTGGAATAATTAAGTAACAGTTGGAGTTTGCTGGACAAAACAACCACTAGAAATTGATGCGTTCGTGTCAAAAGATTTAAACTGACACACTCCACTAACGAAAGTTGGGCAGCGGAATGTACTTCGCCGTGGTTGCTAAAAGCAGCCATCAAGAGAAGGTAACTCCGAAACAACAAGTTGCAGACAAGCAGACAAAGGTAATCATTGTCTTCTCTCCTTCATTTATTATTCGCTGCCTATTTTACCGCTCCAGGTGTCGAGGGAGATGCGAGGTTTTGCTTCTTGCTGCCTCAAACATAGACACATTGTACCTCTGATGTTATCTTTCCATCTTGTTCTTGGTCTACAACGTTCCCTACGTTCTTCTTCTCTTTTGGTGATATGGCGTCTTCTTCTTCTTCTTCTTCTTCTTCTTCTTCTTCTTCTTCTTCTTCTTCTTCTTCTTCTTCTTCTTCTTCTCTTCCACCTTGTATCTCATCGAAGTGTCGGGGGGAGATGTAATGTTCGTTGGTGAGCTCTGTCAAGAGCACTATTAAGACTGATGTTCATTTCTGCAAGGCTGTTCTTAATGCCATCACTCCATTAGTTCCGAGGTCTTCCACTCGCTCTATACCCGTTGTAAAGTTTTAGTGTGGCTCGCTGTGGCGGATAGTACCAGGGCATTCTTGTTAGGTGTCCAAACCACTTCATTTGTTGTTCTTTGATTACATTAAGACTGGCTTTATTCCTAGCAGTCGTCTGATTTCATGATTTCGTATTCCGTCTTTCCTTGAAACTCCTGCAGCTCTTCGAAGGCATTTCATCTCTGTTGTCACAATTTTAAGTTCATTGGAGGATGTAAGTGTCCACGTTTGGCACTGATAGCATAGTGTTGGCCACAAAATAGTTCTGATAAGATTCACTTTAGTACTCTGAGGTATCTGCTTGTGTGTCAACAGAGGAGATAGTTGCCCGATTACTTAATTAGCTTTGAAACATCTGGAGCTAATTTCCCTGTCCATATGTGGCGTCACAAGGCATTATTTCTAAAGTGGACAAACCATTTGATCTGCTGTCTTTGTGTGTAATTTAGAATTGGTTCTGTACCGATTTGTTCTATTTTGACCTCATTCCGGATTAGATCTCTTCTGGTCTCTCCTGCCGCCCTTCTCAGACATCTTTTTTTTTTTTTCTTGGTTACTTATGTTCTTTTCTAGTTTGTTGAGAATGGCCATGTCTGGCACTTGTAGCATAGAGTGGGAATGAATAAAGTAGACGTGTCTTTGTGTTGATCTGGATTGTCTTTTGCTGAAAGAGAGGCCGGGAAAGGGGTGGGGGGGGGGGAGCTAGCTGCCCCAATACAGGGTTACGAAAGTAATCTTTTCTTTCTTCTTCTTCTTCACATTCACCGGCTATAAAATCCGGCGGACAGTTCTGGGTATTCGTCCACATTTGGTCTTTAGTCTTGATCCAGAGTGTTGCGTGCACATCCGTTTCACATATCACAGTGGGCCTAATCTGGTGTTTTCAACAATGGGCACCCGAAACTCACTCGAGGGTCGAAGGTGACTATAACTGGGATAGTGTCGTTGACGGATTTATTCAACTGACAGGTGCTGGCTGCAGTGGATGTGGTGTCTGGTTGAGTACGTTGTCGTCATAGGGACATATCATAGATGTTCTTTATTTATACAGAATGTCACGGAATTTTAGAAAATTCCCTAGAAACAGACTTAAATCATAGTGTGGAGGTAAAAACCGGCAACACAGAACTCGGAACATTCCCATAGGCGCTCAATCCTCATCTTCAGTAGCCAGTAAAATGTTCAAACTCGGAGAATGCCAGTAGCAGTTTGATTATATGTCCTGATTGCCTTTCCTCTGAGTGTACAGTATCAACCAGATCCCATGATCCCTCCCTGAGTGTAGAGTATCAACCAGATCCCATGATCACTCCCTGATTGTAGAGTATCAACCAGATCCCATGATCACTCTCTGATTGTAGAGTATCAACCAGATCCCATGATCACTCTCTGATTGTAGAGTATCAACCAGATCCCATGATCACTCCCTGATTGTAGAGTATCAACCAGATCCCATGATCACTCCCTGAGTGTACAGTATCGACCAGATCCCATGATCACTCTCTGATTGTAGAGTATCAACCAGATCCCATGATCACTCTCTGATTGTAGAGTATCAACCAGATCCCATGATCACTCCCTGATTGTAGAGTATCAACCAGATCCCATGATCACTCTCTGATTGTAGAGTATCAACCTGATCCCATGATCACTCCCTGATTGTAGAGTATCAACCAGATCCTATGATCACTCCCTGAGTGTAGAGTATCGACCAGATCCCATGATCACTCCCTGAGTGTAGAGTATCGACCAGATCCCATGATCACTCCCTGAGTGTAGAGTATCGACCAGATCCCATGATCACTCCCTGAGTGTAGAGTATCAACCACATCCAATGATCACTCCCTAAGTGTAGAGTATCAACCACATCCCCTGATCCCTCCCTGAGTGTAGAGTATCAACCACATCCCATGGTAACTCCTTGAGTGTAGAGTATCAACCACATCCCATGGTCACTCCCTGAGTGTAGAGTGTCGACCAGATCCCATGATTACTCCCTGAGTGTAGAGTATCAACCAGATCCCATGATCACTCCTTGAGTGTAGAGTATCAACCAGATCCCATGATCACTTCCTGAGTGTAGAGTATCAACCAGATCCCATGATCACTTCCTGAGTGTAGAGTATCAACCAGATCCCATGATCACTCCCTGAGTGTAGAGTATCGACCATATCCCATGGTTACTCCCTGAGTGTAGAGTATCAACCACATCCAATGATCCCTCCCTGAGTGTAGAGTGTCGACCAGATCCCATGATCACTCCCTGAGTGTAGAGTGTCGACCAGATCCCATGATCCCTCCCTGAGTGTAGAGTGTCGACCAGATCCCATGATCACTCTCTGCTGTACCACTTGTGCCGAAACTGTGAAAGCTACCAGTTACTAGCACTAACATGATAGCTGCCCGCGCATATTCTCAACAGCGAATCGACGACGAAAATATTACGTGATATAGTCTCCAGTGTAATCGTTACATGCTAACGTTTACATGTGCGAATTTGTCACCACTGACTCTCTCTCTCTCTCTCTCTATATATATATATATATATATATATATACACAAAGACACACACAAACACACACACACACATACGCGCGCGCGAACACACACACACACACACACACACACACTACATAACAGATATAACATAAGGTCCATTGACAGCAGTCTTAGACATTGACACATGTCAATTGACACATATCTTGTCCGCAGACATCTGTGTGGGTGTACACCAGCGAGAACCACGGCAGCAGCATCGAGGTGCCGGTGACCCCTGAGACTACCGTGTTGAACATTCTCGAATGTGTCAGAGATCCGGTCAGAGGGGATGGATACCTGCTGGCTGTTGCAGGTGATACAGGTGAGTGTGTGTGTCACAGCCTGGAGGCAACCATCGATCTGTCGCCTTCCGGGCACTAGCTACAGGTTTACCATCTCTGATTCTCAGTTCGCACTGGGAAAGGTTCCAAATTGACTCATGCAGTATGAGAGGATACCCGGTATCAGTAAGCTAACATTGCATTGAATCACTGGATATACTCTCCGAACATGCAGGAGTGTGAGGGAATGAAAGAGGGGATTTTCTGGCTACAAAAGCGATAGTTACGGGAACACTTGGACTGGACAAGGGAGAAGACCATACATGAACGAAGGTTGACAGAAGACACGATATTGGATAACATAACAAGTGGAAGAATGTGTGAACGAAGAATTAGGAGTGGATCCGGCAAGGACGGATGTATGAGAGGAAGAGAACGACTTGTGTATACTCACTGAGCTTCAGAAAAATTTAACATCTATACATTAGGACATTTGCTACGGGAGACGGAGCATCTATGGCTATTCCCGGCGTGCTATGCTGTCGATACCTAAATCAGTAATCAGTAATAATAATACCATCCGGAGACGGCAGATTCCAGATACCCCGTTCAACTTTGTTTTGTTCTGTAACCTGCAGTTCTGGGTGGGTAAGGACTGTGACGAGGGAACGTTGTGTCCTGTAACCTGTAGTTCTGTGTGGGTGAGGACTGTGACGAGGGAACGTTGTGTTATGTAACCTGTAGTTCTGGGTGAGTGAGGACTGTGACGAGGGAACGTTGTGTCATGTAACCTGTAGTTCTGGGTGGGTGAGGACTGTGACGAGGGAACGTTGTGTCATGTAACCTGTAGTTCTGGGTGGGTGAGGACTGTGACGAGGGAACGTTGTGTTATGTAACCTGTAGTTGTGTGTGAGTGAGGACTGTGACGAGGGAACGTTGTGTCCTGTAACCTGTAGTACTGTGTGGGTAAGGATTGTGTCGAGGGAACGTTGTGTCCTGTAACCTGTAGTTCTGTGTGGGTGAGGACTGTGACGAGGGAACGTTTTGTCCTGCAACCTGTAGTTCTGTGTGGGTAAGGACTGTTACGAGGGAACGTTTTGTCATGTAACCTGTAGTTCTGTGTGGGTTAGGACTGTGACGAGGGAACGTTTTGTCATGTAACCTGTAGTTCTGTGTGGGTTAGGACTGTGACGAGGGAACGTTTTGTCATGTAACCTGTAGTTATGTGTGGGTTAGGACTGTGACGAGGGAACGTTTTGTCATGTAACCTGTAGTTCTGTGTGGGTTAGGACTGTGACGAGGGAACGTTTTGTCATGTAACCTGTAGTTCTGTGTGGGTTAGGACTGTGACGAGGGAACGTTTTGTCCTGAAACCTGTAGTTCTGTGTGGGTGAGGACTGTGACGAGGGAACGTTTTGTCACGTAATCTGTAGTTCTGGGTGGGTAAGGACTGTGACGAGGGAAGATTTGTCGAATGTACAAGTACCGGTATGAATAGATAATAAATAGGTTATATAGTTGGAAGACAGAAGTAATGGTAACATGAGAGAAAAGAACACTACCTAAATGTAGTATAAAAATCAAAGGCTTTATTTTTGGGGACAGGTAAGGAATTAAGTATCTAGGTACATGGATTACATTTGAAAGACGATGTTTCACAGAGAGGAAGAACAGAATAGGGTAGGCCAAAACCGCATTCCCTGCCCCCTCCCCCTTTCTTTGTGTGTGTGTGTGTGTGTGTTTTTTTGTTTTTGTTTTTTGTTTTTGTTTTCGTTGTTAATGAAATGGTTTTATGAAGTATATCCATGTCATTGAAGATTAGGAAAAGAATTCTCGCGTACTATATAGAGCTAGTTTAAACATACGGCTGTGAAGCCTGGACAATTAATAAACAGGCCAGATACCTGTTATTGTTTTGTTTTGTGGAGCCACTTAGATGGGGTTTTACAGAGGGATCTCTAGAATTCCATGGGCAACCACAAAAGAGCATCCGACATGTTTTGAAAGAGGCGAGTACTCGAAGACAACCTATCACAAAAACCAGAAATTTTATTTTATTGTCTTGTTATAAAAAGAATGAAACCTGGAACATGTTGTGACCATTGGAAAGATCTGTGGAAAGAGAGATAGAAGAAGACAATACGAGAAGATTCTTTGCAGCCTTTTTGTCCTGACAGGGAGCAGTGTCAACACACTGATTGATACACACAGGTGCAGATTGCGGAGAGGCATGATCGCCTACGTCAGTCGGCAAGACACTTGATGATGATGATATGAAAGCATCAGCTCAATGTCCACAAGCCCAATGCTCAGCGTCGATTGTCTGTTGCTGGGAGAGCCCTGATCTGAGGTCTTGTATGTCCACAGAGTATATCCTGCAAGACGGGGACAACGCTTACACTTTCCTCTACGAGATCTGGAACAGTACCGGTTCAACCCCGAATTTTTTGTTACGATACTGCAGCCAGCAGGCAGAGTGGCCGCCCCCGGGACTGGAAGGTAGGTGATCCTTCTCAAGGAAATAGTGGGGGGGGGGGGGGGGAGTGGTGGACGGGGTCTAAACTGTGACTTACTCATGCAGAATGTTGATGTAGTTCGAATCTAGGCCAGGGTGCTCTTTGTGTCTGTCAAGCAAAGGGACCCTTTTCCACCCCTTCACTTCTGTTGGGCATATAGGGCTAGAGCTATATTTTATATACCAATCAGCACTCAGTGAGTCATGTCGTCACCATCACGCCGACCGCCTTTACTTCTCAGGACTTTACATGGTACCTCTTTAATCATTTAAGGCTGGGTCGATCTGAGCGACAAGGTCATTTGTTTTAAAGTCCGGCTTGTTCGGGACCCGAACCCACGACTTTCAGATCAGTAGGCGAGCTTCTAGCCGCTACACCACGTGGCTTTCGTCGTTGTGTCAGTGACAGCCACAAGGTTTCTCACTTTACCCTAAAAACTTCTTCTTCTCCTTCTTTTTCTTCTACTTCTTCTTCTTCTTCTTCTTTTTCTTTTCTTCTTCTTCTTCTTCTTCTTCTTCTTCTTCTTCTTCTTCTTCTTCTTCTTCTTCTTCTTCTTCTTCTTTCTTCTTCTTCTTCGCGTTCACCAGCTGTAAACTCTGGCGGAAGGTTCTGGTTGCTCGTCCACTACTGAACTGCAGTCCTGCTCCAGAACCTGAGTGTTGCGTGTGCATCAGTTTTACAGATCTCATTCTCTTGAATACAGACTGTTGGTTCCTTGCCTCTCCGGCAAATGCACTCCGACTTCAAAGGAAGCTCCCCAATTAGTCGACTCTTACGACATGCTTTTGGGGAGGCAGTGGGTCTATTCTTGTTTTCCCCACAATGGGGCCCCGGAACCCACACGGGGGGCTTCTTCTTCTTCTTCTTCTTCTTCTTCTTTCTTCTCTTCTTCTTCTTCTTCTTCTCTTCTTCTCTTCTTCTTCTTCTTCTTCTTCTTATTATTATTATTATTATTATTATTATTATTATTATTATTATTATTATCTATTCTTTTTCTTCTTCTTTCTTCTTCTTCTTCTTCTTCTTCTTCTTCTTCTTCTTCTTCTTCTTCTTCTTCTTCTTCTTCTTCTTCTTCTTCTTCTTCTCTTCTTCTTCTCTTCTTCTTTCTTCTTCTTCTTCTTCTTCATCTTCTCTTTCTCCTTCTTCTTCTTCTTCTCTCTTCTTCTTCTTCTTTGAATTCACCTTCTGTAAACTAAGTGTCCTAGTTGTTCGTCCACTTTTGGAATTCAGTCTTGTTCAAGAATTTTAATTTTGCGTGGACATCCATTTTGCAAATCTGGGTTTTTTATACGCAGACTGTTGGTTTCTCGGCTCTTAAGCAGATTCACGCCGACTTCGATTATGAATAGTTACAGTTTGGAATCCCCTCTCTCTCCTACTTTCCCCAACCCCTTGAAATGAATGGCCACTTTCATGCTGGGTCTCATTTTATCTGAAATAGAACATCCTTGATATTTTTTACTTTTGTCTGAAACCATGCAGATGTCTAAAGCCTATGCGAGATTACATGTGTACGAGATACATCCTTATTTTAAGAGATCTCCACCTGGTTGTCTCTATACGCGTTGGTTGTGAATACACTTATATTGTCGGGCAATTAACAAGAAAAACTCATGACGACAAAGAAAAAGACGAGAAAAGACAGACCAAGTATTCTTTAAGAGCCACGGTAAATCTTAAGATACTGTCACGAAATGGGTGACCTCAGAATGGGCCTCGTACGCTGGGAACTCTAGCATCCGAGAATACGAAAGCGACCGCTTTAACCAACAAAACAACACGAAACGAAACAAACCATGGGATTGAACACTGCACCCAACAGAAATCACGAAAACCTACTCTGACTTGTCAGGATTGATTGTAAAACAAATTCCTCACCATTATTTGATTCGTTACCCAGTGAATGCAACAGTTTCCGCTGTCTCAGGACTTACCTGTGCTAAGTATTGCATGGCCATTGAACCTAAAGCGGGTTACTTGTTATAGATTTGTTCAAGCGGCTGTTGGCTTTGTTACCTACAGCGACAAAATTATGTTCCCGTGAAAAGATACGAGGGGTATCGCCTTCTCCAAACAGAGCGTGAGGGATGAATTACCTCAGGTGTTTCTTCGGAGTATAAATACGGCTCATAGTTAGTTGAGAGGCATCACTTGGGGACCTCAGACCGTCAACTTGACCTAGCTGTAGCCGAGTCGATCCTGCAGAGCTTGTAACATCGACACCAACAACTCACTCTCAGTCATGCAGCCCTCGGCATTCAGCCTCGTGTTTCTGCTTCTTGTTGCCTCCAGCCTCCTGGTGGAGGTGGTCAGGGCTCACACGGAGCACCATCATCACAGACATCACCACACGGGACATTACAGACACAGCCACTCTCACTCGCACTCGCACAAGCATCACCACCACCACGAGAGCAAGTCATCTGGCGGCGGTGACGGCGGTTTGAACCTGTTCCCTCTGCTCTTGGCTTTGCTGATGGGAAACAACAACCTTAACGCTGCAGCTCAGCAGGGAGCCGCCCAACCCCAGCCCCAACCGGTTCCGGGCAAATAGAGCACGCACAACACGGAAGCAAACAATATCGTCTTCAACACAACTTCACACCAACGAAAGCACTGGAAAAACAAGCAAGTAATTTCATCTGTCATCAAGTGATTAATTCTGTCCAGAAGTGAACGACAAGTTCAGTCTGTAACAACAACAACAGTTTTATCAAAACTCTATACCAGTGCCAAGTATGAGCTTCGTCTAAACCAACAGAGGGCAAAATCGTTACGTCTAAAATGTAAAGCTTGGGGACAAAATAAAAAAAAGTTCTCTAGAAGAAATGACATTAGGTCTGTCATAGTCAGGCGTTGAATTTGTAGAAGTGGAACAAATATGACATCTGGTGACATTGACGTCCAATCAGCTACTACTTTGAGACTGCATCCCAAGAGTGTCGAGTTATAGTATAGTTCTAGAGCACAACAAAGACATGAATGGATGTTCTGTCAATGATATTCAGCACACACATAAACACACCATGATCTAAGTGGTACATTTGTTTCAAGATCAGAAACTTCAGTTCCCCGTTTTGCTTCACCGCAGTCAGACACCAAGTCATTGTTTCAAAATAGGATAAAAGACAGTTAAAAACAATATCAAAGGATGTTCCTAGCATATCACGTCTGCTTGATAATGAGTGACCCACGGTAAGAAAGGTTGCTTCTATGAGCACTGTACTATGATAAAAAGCTGAGCAGGTCAAACAAGAGGTTACCAGTGATACAACAGGGAGGTTATCAGCAAATGATTAGCAAACACATGTCTGTCAAACTGAAACGAAAGACAAACAGTTGAGAAGATTTTTCGAAACTAACCGGCTAACCTAACTGTAGATAACTGACTGTAGAACATAAAGATTTTCTACATTGCTGTGATGTATTCAGAGACTCCAAGAGTATTTAGGTGGTGTCAGAAGAATTCAATCAAATAAGACTATATGTAATTATTGACACGTGTATCATAATGCCGTGACCCGCTTGTCAAAATGTTTAATGTCACCAATATAAAATATAAAACATCGTTTTCAAGAACCAGATCTGTTGAATATTATAATCGCATATAATAAATGGTTGTATCTTCATTGATTTCATTGTCTGTAATTTATTTGTTTGTTCTTGATCTATCTATCTATCTATCTATCTATCTATCTATCTATCTATCTATCTATCTATCTATCTATCTATCTATCTATCTATCTATCTATCTATCTATCTATCTATCTATCTATCTATCTATCTATCTATCTATCTATCTATCTATCTATCTATCTATCTATCTATCTATCTATCTATCTATCTATCTATCTATCTATCTATCTATCTATCTATCTATCTATCTATCTATCTATCTATCTATCTATCTATCTATCTATCTATCTATCTATCTATCTATCTATCTATCTATCTATCTATCTATCTATCTATCTATCTATCTATCTATCTATCTATCTATCTATCTGTCTGTCTATCTATCTGTCTGTCTGTCTGTCTGTCTGTCTGTCTGTCTGTCTGTCTGTCTGTCTGTCTGCCTGCCTGCCTGCCTGCCTGCCTGCCTGCCTGCCTGCCTGCCTGCCTGTCTGTCTGTGTGTCTGTCTGTCTAATCTATCTGTCTGTCTGTCTGTCGTGCCCAATAAAATGCGTCCCCGGCACCCACCAGAGAAAGGCCTAGGATGAAAATCCTTCTCTCCAGTGAAGTTTGTGGAGACCGACTTTTGCCCATGCAGCAGGACCCCACATTGACCCCGGCTTGTCTGCTCCAAAGGAAAAGTAAGAGGATACGTTTGGAACAAAACCTGCTGCAGAAGCTGCAGATCAGAGAAGCGGTGTTCTCTCTGTCAGGGTTGAAAACTTCTTTCCTGGGCCAGCTACTATTCTACCAATGCAGGCTCAGGATCTGGTCATCCCTGCAATAATATTAAATTTTAGGCTGCATTTCCTTGACCTGTGGTAAGGCCAGTGTCTTCTCACTTGCGCCTTAAGCAGAAGTGGAAGATGTGTTGAGGTGAGTTGAGTCAAGAATTGACATCACTCGGGGCATTCCCATCCATGCTCCGTTCTCATCTTCAGCAGCCAGCTCAGAGTTCTAATACTGATGGTACCGGTCACAATCTGGTTAAATGTCCGTCTTGCCTTTCCTCTGAGTGTAGTGAGCCGGCCAGACCTAGGGGCCTCATTCTCTCCAGCCCATAATAATCTTCTATCTTCACTGATTCCATTGCTTGTTACTTGGATGATATTCACGTTCAGAAAAGTTGTCCACAGCTAGAGAACAGGATTTCAGAACCATTGTTATCGTCTCTTGTATTCCAATAGCCTCATCTCTCAACATATCTGCACTCATTTACCCCGTTAATCGCAGTTCCTTCCGAATTTTCCCCTCCATAGAGTAATTTAACTGGCATCCTGATCACATCAATACATATACTTTTCGTATCCCACTTGGACACGTATGTGTATCCTAGTAGAAACTGACCTCGTTATCTCGCGTCCAGCATTCATTTACCATAGCCATGAAGGAAGTCCTTAGTGAGTATATAATGTAACTCTCAAGAAAACTTATTTTTTTCGCGTTCATATGATGTAAACTCCGGTTGAATGTTTTAACTGTTCGTCCACCTCTGGACTTTGGTCTTGTTCCAGAACGTGAGTGTTGCGTGCACAGCAGGTTCACAGATCTGGCTTATTTGTATGTAGACGCCATCTTCTTGTCTCTTAGGTAGACGTACTCCTACTTAGAAGAATGCCCCAAATTAGTCGACTCCTACGACACGCTTGTTGGGGATGGGGGCTATTTTCCACAATAGGACCCCGAAACCCACACAGGGAGCAAGAAAACAAGCTTATAAAAATGTTGTATCATTTATAAGAATTGCAACATGGGACTAAATTCCAAGAATTGACAATGGCTGGTCTGTCGTCTGCACGCTTGCCATGTCTTTGTACAGAACGGTTAAAACAACAGTTGGGGGATCTGGAGAAAACTTGTTGTCGATTGGTCTATAGTACGCTTCAAAAGTCATGCCTTTACGCTTGAACAAATATCTTTGCTACTCTTATGCGAATTAAAACGGATTTTTGCAAATCGCGTTTGATTTCCCATGTCCTTATGATTTTATGTTACTCTTTTCTTGACGCGGGGAATTTATTTGGTTTTTGTTTAACTAATAAAGTGTGTACCCTTCAGAAAAAAAAAGAATATGCAGTATTTGACAAGCGAGTGGAGATTATTGATGCCATGGGTCTTATTGTGCGGAGCGGGCACAGCTTGAAAGGAATCAGAATGAAGGAAGACATAATTAGAGAAAGGATGATAGCTGAGCGTCTGAGAAGAAATACACTAAATAAAAATGTTGATAACACTGTCGTCTGGGATGATGAAAAAGTGTCAATAGTAAACATACAGGAGATTCTTTGGACATCAGTTCACGTGTGCAGCGATGCATGATGATTTTTTTCGATAGCCTATCCCGCATTCAAGGAAAATTTGTAAAATTACGGGAGGCTAGTGCTGAAGATGACCACCTGAGAGTGACACGCCTATGTCTTGACTTTTAACCCTCCCCCCACCCCCGCCTCCTCAGGACACAACACAGAGCAATAAACACCCGGTGACACAAAGTGTCACCATTCGGATTAGGATCACACATGGGGAGGTCCCAGAAACCCAGCTTAACCCAAATATTGGGTTATAATTAGGGCCCCCCCCCCCGGCAACAGCCGAAGTGGGGGCTTCAAAATAACCTTCCCGTACTAGTAATTGTAGAAGTAGTACATTTTACCCCACAAGCGATAAACACCCGATGACACCTAGTGCCACCATGTGGATGAGGATCACCCGTGGAGAGGTCCCGGAAACCGCGAACAGCCATTATATATATTGCGGCCCCTGGCAAGAGCCAGGGTGGGGCTTCAAAATAACGAACAACTGCATCTCACTAGCGGATGTCTTGTGAGTTATCCTTTTCCGTTCTTAATTGCAGGTTTCTAAAGATGGGTACAACTTTTGAAACGTATTATAGTTCCAAACACTACATGTCAGTCCTGTTTCTACTGCCGTGTACTACGCCACCTGTTGAGTGGACACACACTGCCGAGGTGGACATACAACTGCGTGCCACTCAATGACCAAAATACGCCAGCATAATCAACATTTTCCATTCGTTGTTAACATAGCCCAGAAACAAACATCAAGAAGGCGGACCGGGCTCTGTGTCGTGTCAGTGTTTGTCTCCCCTGCTGCGTTTGTCCTTCCGCCGTGAATAAATAGGTCAGAACAGACAAGAATGCAAACCAGCTGATATGTCCAACGTTCTTATTGTTCTTCTGTCTTCTTATAATGTTTTTGTTGCCAGTCCGCCCAATTCACTTTTCTTCCTTTACCTTATTACTAATGAAGTAAAGTAAAACAACAGATCAAGAATTTGTAACACCAGGGACAACAGTGAAGGCAGTAAAATGAATAATCAGACTTTTACAAAGAGGGAAAATATTGCTTTTGTTTGTTTTATTGTTTATACAACGAATTAACATTATGGCATAAGAGTAACACTGAAATAACATTAGAATTGAAAATTAATATAACTTGGTTTCAAAACTAAAGCATTTACAGTTCAATATTTTGTTTAGGGGTTTCAAAGTTGATTATGCCTTGCCAAGGCGTGTCATGATTTCTCATGTGGACTTCTAGTAATTTGCCCCTAGGCTCTAGGTAGTAAGACCGGAAACCCGTGTGTATTGTTGCGCACGTAAAATATACAGTAGGCGTTGGAAATCGAAAAAAAGTAGCTTAACAGCACTGCCCGGCCAAAAGTTGGAGTTAAAAATCTACCCGAAATACTTTAGGATCCTTGCCGGTGCTACGAGCTCGTGCACTGCGCTGAGATTCTTCTGACTCAGGCTTGAGTTAGAAGTAAAACGAAGCACTGGGTTACTCTTATGTCATGATGATAGGCGGGGAAAAGGGTCCTTTACTTTTACTTACTCAGCGCTGGCGTTCACTTGCCAGGA